GTAGTAAGTAGAGAGTAGGAGAACTATTCTCCAGCTTCTCTCTTCTTGCAACCTCGGCATGTTAGTAGTAAGTGTTTCAATATTCTTGTGCCTTACGAGGTTGATAGGTGGAACAATTTATTCAATATGGCCTAACGTTTCGACTGAATCGTCGTCATCAGAGGCCTGAATGTGTTTCAAGGATTAGATTGCGCTCTACCCCACCAAGCGCCTCGTCAACTCTAGCGGTTCCGACATCGTGTCAGGAACCCCTCGAGAAACCCCCGTCATCGCGAAAGTCAACTCACCGACGGTTCCACCTTATGAGCGGCAGTGTCCGCTGCCACACAAGAGCGATAGTTAGTTGTAAATGAGGAATACTGCGCTGTCTCCGTATAATAAAATATTGCGGAGACGAATTATTCCACCTATCAACTCGTAAGGCACAAGAATATTAAACACTTAAGAGAACTATGTTCTTTCTAGTTGTTGTATTTTGAGATATTTTCATTACTAGATCTGCTAGAAACTCGAGCAGTGGCAATGAGACTGTTCGATAGGATTAATAATGTATGTAGTGTTCACTTGTTATGATATAGGATTTTCTTTCGCTCGCTCTGCTGAAAGTTATCTGCGAACCGGAAATGTAGACATTTTCTGCACTATTTACGCTTTTACTGCCCCAATCATCCAAAATCTGGCCAGTTTTTGACCGACTTTTTTCTCCGTGAACGGAATTGGCTAAAAATTTGTCTCTGGGGTGGTTTGACTTCCTGAATATGAATACCTCCTGGCGCCCGCGCCACAGGCGCGGCGCCAAAATACCTAAAATCACCAAATTCGCTGAAAACTTGTTCTCAGGGGTAGTTTGACCTCCTGAACACGAATATCACATCCGCTCGGCACGGAAACTCCCTGGCGCTCGCGCCACAGGCGCCGGCTCCGAAATACCCCAAATCACAGGCGCCTGTAGCGCGGGTGCCAGATTTCGGGTTAAGCGAATGTGATATTCGTATTCAGGAAGTCAAACCACCCCAGGAGACAACATTTGAGCCAAATCTGTCCACGGAGAAAAAATTCGGTCAAACACTGGCGCGATTCCGAATGATTGGGGCAGTGAAGGGTAAATAGTGCCAAATCTTCTTAGATAGTATCGGCTATTGCTCAATTGTTCGAGCATGCAAATAAGTTAGAGTGTCATCTGTAAGCTACTGAAGTTCACGAATTCCGTACTGCCGATGTTCGTTAATGTGCGAAGACATTCACCTCTCACGGAACAGTTCGCGTTTCGTGCACAGTGTTGATGAAGATTTCGTCAAGAAATTTCAATTTTTTTTCCCAGATATTCTTGAAAAGGCATTGAAAGCCACTAAAATGGTGACAAAAATCTGAGGCATCACGCAAAGAGTAGTGCTTTACTTTTTTTTGCGAGAAGTGCGGCTAAACATTTGCTTGTGAAAAAACTGTTCTCGAATACGGGCCCTTTCTCAATCGTGTTACTGTTTTTACAAATACCAACAGCACTGAGCACGTCCACAGTGCTGGGAGATCCCTTATCACCTACACGGCTTGTGGGTTTCATCGTCTCAGTCAATCAAGCCTTCGGCAGCGTTCATACTTGGCGACAGCAGTGGCGATCACCGCGATCGTCGGTACGCGTCAGAGCGCGCCCCAACGCTATTTACTTGTACCCGTCCGAGCGGCTATAAGGAGGAATAGGCTTGGTTTCTTCGCTTTTTTTCTGTCTAAGTGAGAAGTGTGACTCAGTACTAGAGTTCCGTTTCTTGACACCACGGGTAAGGTGGATGAAACTTAATCGATTTTTTTTTCTTATTTTTTTTTTCGATCAGCAGGAAGAAATGAGGCAAGAAGCAGGGGCCAGCTTCATATAAGGGTAAGTTCTTATTGTCTCTCTTTTTTCATTAATTCGGAGCCTTAAAAAAACTTTCGTCAATGAAGCATATGACGTTTCGCTCCTCCTCGATCTTGCGCAAGCGTACGTCCAGTCTTTGATTCCCTAGGCGAGTTGCTCTCTCGTTTCTTTTTTTTTCGTCTTTTGAAACTCGAACTTGTATACTGCGAATGTTTTGGAAAGCTTGAGACCAATTTGCGCCAGTAGCGAATCTTCCAAGACACTTATTATACTCGAGGGCATGTTGAAAATATACCGAATACACACAGACTAAGTTAAGCCTCGCACATAATGGACGCCCCGTCCATTATGTGGCCTGCAGTCGAACCGCGTTTGTCTGCGTAGCAGGGACCGTACGTAAAAATTTCAGTCGTCGACCCGGAACACTCGAGCAGGCGGCAGACATGGAATAAGAAGTGGGGTCGAGGTTGAATTGAAGGAGGCATACTTGAAATGGACTCACGAAAAAAATCGAGTACCGACATTCCACCCCTCGCCTTTACGAAAATTTCACAACCATCCACTAGGGGGGGAGGGTATATACCAAAGGCGGGCGATCCGACTGGCCCTCAATTTGGATGGCCGGGGACCACTTTCCACATCGCCTAGGAGGGATCGCCCCGCCTTCGTGGGCGATCGGAATGTTAATTAGTTAGAAACAATGAAAACAAAAGAAACAAGAAGAAGCTCACCTAGGAAATGAAGCTGCACTTATCTTGCCTAAAAAAGTTCTAGATCTTCTTAGGTAGAGAAAATCCTAAGTTTCAAGCTAGTAGCCATTATTTAGGAGAAAAAATTTTCACGAGTTGGATTTCTTTATTTATCACAGCGAGTGGTTGAAGCAGGTCTCACATTGGTTGGGGATTCTAGTCGAGTCTGTACTACCCCCCCGCCCCCCCCTTTTTTTCTTGGGGGTTGGTACGCCCCCCTCCGGTCCGGCTCTCCGTCCTCCTCATCAAATCGAGCCGCGAGTGGAGGGGGGGGGGTGGGTGGGGTATGGGAGCACATGTGAAAGAGGAGAAGCCGCGAGACAATACGACCCCTCCCAACAATGAGCGAGTACGAGCCTCTTTTTACAGCGTCCCGTGAAGCGAGAAAAATCAACTATCGAAATAAATTTTTCTCAGCCCAAATACCCCCTCTCCTGGCGGCCAAATACGACCCCCCCCCTATTGGGGATTCCCCAACAACGATGTGCCCTGGGTTGAAGTAACTGCGGGCTCTGAGCGTACCGACGATCGCGGCAAGTCCGCCAGCTGCCTGCCGGCCAAGTATGAACGCTGCTTTCTATTCTGTCCGAGCTGTTCACTTCACATCTATTTTGTTAGCATATACACTAGGTCAGGCGATTCACAAAGATTTTGTACACTCTGTGATGCGAATGCGTGTAGTCAGAACGCTAGAGAATACTTTTCTTGAAGAATACCCGCCAGTGATGTATGCGTGGGCGTTTCTGCTTCCTGTCCTATGATGTCTGATGCGAGCACCCGGTGTCTACGTCCTAAACTCGCACAGTATCCAAAATCAACGACGCAATGGAGTGCTGTTTAGCACGATAACTGCTGTTTCACGCCGCAGTTCGCCCTTGGAAAGTTATCACAAGAATGCTAAGTTGGGGCTATATATCAGTCCAAAGCGAAACCGAGAACCCGTACCTCCCGCTTACGCGAACCGGTTCCACGTTAATCCACACCATAAGGGCCACTCTCTTCTCTCTCAGGCTTTTTGTGCCAGCTGCCGCTTGGCAGGCACTCACGCACGTTCAATGTGATAGCTGGTAAAACGGGAGATGCGTGGTTTGAGTCCGCCTGAGACTTTCTTTCTTCTATATTTGCAGGCAATCTAGAGTAACAACGGAAGAGTGACGCATGTTGCGCCGCTTCCGGTTGGTTCTCTAGATTCTTTCTCGGCGGCTGGCCACGTCACCTCCGTACAGTTTGACCTTTTTGATCCCGTTGCTCGCGGGTGCTAGATGTGCCTATTGAACAATTTTATGTCCGAGGAGCGTGTCAAACAGAGTTATGGTTGCTTCTTTCAATATTCCTCGCTCTGAAAGCGACCGTCGAGGAAAGCCAAGAGCATTTCAAAGTTTAATCACTGATTTATGTGATCAGATTGACAGACCGATTAGTAATAATCGGATTGACGCGGGTCTATACAACCTGAAATCCACTGATACATTGAGAGATACCTTTGCCGTTTTATTTTTGAAGCACCACTTGATATTTCAAAAACCAGCTGAAAAAGCATTTACGTTCTGGCTCCTAAGCTTCTGTAACTGTACTAATAGCTGTTGCTCAGGTGCAACTTTGGAGCTTGTTTATGTAAACATATTTTATTCGTAGTCAAGGCGAAACTATGTTTAACCTACACATCGTAGTTGAGATCATACAGTATGCCGTTTTTTTGCAACAGCTTTGCTGACGAGCAGGAGGGCGAAATAATCGCAGGCAGCAGGCGGAGTCTTGTTCATAAAGAAATGCGCCGTGAGTTGCGGCGGTCATACACGCTCTCTTGTCTAATCAGGCTTTGAGACTTCATATTTGTGGAGTAAAGCTCGTTTTGGATGGAGATGTTTAGAAAATAGCGACCTGATACTAGGCTGATAGCAGCGCACTACGGTGGCCGATCACTTAGATAAAGAGAAGTGTGAAGGAATTGGAAAGCTGGAAGTATCTTCTTATCGAGCTTGAAGTTTAGTGGAATTATCACTCGATGATGACCAAAGATGGCAGAATTCGGTTGGAGGTGTACATGAGGATTCAGACGTAATGGTAGATCGCCATTCAAATGGGCTGAGAGAAGGTCCTGAAATGGTTCACTATGATGAAGCCAGCTACTAAATAATAGAAAATTTCGGCGTATTTCCCACGAGGAGGAGGGGCACTTCTGTGAACCCCAGTCGACGTACTGGGCAATGATACGAACGACAAGCTACACTGTGATATGGTATCAGTTTCTTGTCGAGTGGCCATTAGCAGAGAGCGGTTGACTTATCGCAATCAGGACATTTCCTCCTACCCCAGTGTGAACCCGGTCAGCATAAAGGCCCAGGGTCAGCTATGACTGCAAAAAACTGTGGGCATGTACACAGACACATGGTACGCTCAAGACGCATTGAGGGTGTATGAGACTAACAGCCCCCCAGCTGTCGATGTGTCGTGGTCCCCCCGCTCAAACATGCCCAGGAATGGAGATACAGGACCGTGGGAAAGGCTTATTCCTTGCTACTCCGCCCAAAATTCACCGCGCGCGCGGCGAAATGCAACTCGCGCGCGGTGAATTTTGGGCGGAGTAGCAAGGAATAAGCCTTTCCCACGGTCCAATGTAAATAGCTCCATTGCCCGCCTGGGCAGTGGTTTGAGCGGGGGACCGAGCGACACAGTTCGACAGCTGGGGGCGCTGTTAGTCATCTCATACACGCCTCAATGTTGTTTGAGCGTACCATGTGTCTTTATATCACAAACATTGGTACTCTAGGCCAACTTTACCGGAGAACCCGTGTAACGACGGTGAATTTCTTTCCTGGGAGACCATACCATCAGGAGAGCCAAGCGGCCAGGCCAACTAAGCCTTCTACCCTCCGGGGACGGCAAATTGGTACCAGATTCGTCTGGGAGGATAAAACACTGACTTGTACATCGGCTGGCCACCGCAAGTCATTGTATAGGCCACATCGCATTCAATAAGCCACTACGATTCTGAATGGAAGTAGAATGCGTGCCTCTTTATCGTTTTGAAAAATAAAACCAAGGAAAGTTGCTTCATTGGAATATTTCAACTTCCACGAAATGAACCGCCATTGAATAAGCGGTGCGGTACGGCGGCTAGAAATGCCGTATCGCAGCTGTGCGAAAAAGAGATCACTCCATACAAGTCAGTTAGGCTTTTACGCAGTCAAAAGTATCATAGCGGAAGCGAGTGCCAACCCAAGAGGCTTTTTTTGCGGCCAAAGCTTGCGAACAGACGCTTCTGGGACCCACAATCGAAGCCAACCGTGACCGGGGTAATTGTTATGGCCAAACCATAATCGTTTGTTGTCGTACTGCTACCGCTCTGTGCTACGTGGCCTCATGAAATGTTTCT